GTGTGTGTGTTCGTGTGTGTGTTCGTGTGTGTGTTCGTGTGCGCGCTTGTCTCTATCGCTCCACATGAATCCTGATCGTTCAGGTGAACTGCGTGCTCACAAAACTTGTTTTACCATGCATAAGGGAAAGTATTAACCTGACATGAGAAAGAATAAGTTGGTTACAGTTTATGAAATAGATTATCAGTTAATTGCCCAGGCCTACTGCAGAGCAGGCCACAGCTTTCCTTCAAAGCATCCTGACTGTATGCATCACATGTCGCACACTAACTCTAGCTGTTGTTTCCATGAGTGACTGAGCTGAGGTGAAACTCTTGAAGGTGCCTTTGGAAATCAAGCTAGTGCTCATCAACATATTTGTGCTTATTTAATGTTCTTAAAGGTTTTTAAGAAACACTGAAGAGACGCCGGCCTTGGCCACTGGAGGGTTTATTTAAGTTGGTGTCATCATGAAAAGAAAGTACTTAATATCACATCCAACCACTAAAGTGCTCGTATTTAAATGCCATAGCGACGACATTTAAAAACCTCTTGGCAACAGTTGTTGAACATTGAGAGCTTTCAACGTGACGGCCCTGACGTTTTTTCCACTGAAAGATTAAAGTACCTGAGCAGCAGTGCAATAGTAAGATGTTAGACCTTTGTACAGTCGTCTGAAAGGATTAAACACCACCGTGTTTCACAGCTTACATTTTAATTCATCTGCTTTTGTAATAGACAACTAATAATGACGGTGATTTAATGCCCACATTCAAATCATGGCTGTAACTGAACCCTTCTGTTATTACAATCCATTTGCCACATAGCCTCATGCACTGTATTTCCATCCTCGAAAATGATTTCAAAATGTCACCCAGCATGTTTCCCACTGATGGCACTTTGAATGACTGACCCTCCACAGGGCCTGAGTGGGACCCCCCTGCCCTGTTGCTATAGCGATGCTCTTGTGTAACTCAGGGATCAGCCAAAGTTCCTCATGATGAGAACCAATTATAGCTGTGATGGGATTTTTATGCAGGAGTGACTGATTAAGCCAATTTTTTTAAAACTCCAGCACCTCTCATGTAGAATTTACAGAGAAACTCGACATCCATCCAACACCACCTGCCATACCAATGCTATACATTACACATGTACGGTAGAATGACTGCAGTCTACACTCAATTTGTGACTGCAAGACTTCTTCGATATATATACATTTTTTAACTTTCACGATGGAGTCACAAGTTATTTCCTACATTTCCCAGAGGCACATTTTGACAATAGCGAGACACCTGGTGTGAACTCTGCATTCAGCGCTGGGTGACTTATGCTCATGTGTGGGTGGAGAGAGGAACAGCAGGGGTGAAAGTGAGGGGCGAGAAGATGAAGTCTTTGCAGGCAAATTATAATCATTACATTATATTATTCTATTCTACACAGTCTGCTGATGGTGTTTACAGCCACAGGAGAGCTTGTTATTATTTTGCATTTACTGAGATAAAGTTTTAACTGAGACATTGAAAGCTAATGCAGTTATTTTGGGAAAAACGCTTTCTCACTGAGCGCTAGAGGGAAAAAAAACAATAGATCTCTAATATTTAGTCAATTTAATCTAATTTCCACAGGCAAGCTAAGCTAACTAGCTGCTCGCAATAGCCTCTTATTTAATGGACAATTGTCAGAACGGTCAGTCTTGTCGTCTCACTTTCAGAGATACAGTGAATATACATATTATGAAAAGAGGTTTAACTATTCTTTTCAAGATTTTATTAAAAATTACAGTAAAACCCTGACATCTCTATAGATTATTACCACTAAAACCACTGGTTATGTTTTCAAAACCTGTATATTTGTTTTACATGACATAATCATAGACTGTGTAAAAAGATGGACAACACAAATCCGTTTCTGCCAAAATATCCTGCGCTGCCATCCAACGTGGATGATGTCATTTGGCACCTGTCTGTGAGGTAGTGATTGGGGATTGAGCTGCAATATGGAGGTCCCACCAATACACACTCTACATGAACACTGGAACACACATCAGTGTGATAAGAAACACCCAAATGACAGAAATCATCTTTCTTTGTTGGTTTGATCCTCATCCCATACACTAACATGGAGGAGGCATAATTTATGATGCTATACTGCAGCCAGCCACCACGGGGGCAATCAAAACACTTTGGCTTCACTTTTGGGGGCAGTCGTGTCGTCCATCTTCATGTACAGTCTTTGAGCATGATGGAGACAGCTCACCTGCAGGGATGATGCCTATGCGCAGAGAACACGGCACCAACTCAGCATCTGGTTGGTTCTGGTCCACGTCATGGTCAGTCTGGGTCCTGGTGACCAACCCGTGCAGGATCTCACCGAACATGCCATCTCCACCCACACACACCACGCTGGGCAGATACATGATATCAACAACTTACAAGTTGCACGCATGGCTCAGAGTTCTTACCTCTAACCTTGACATTAACACATCTGGGCAGCAGCTTTAACTGTGAAACCCTTTAATAGATAGGAATATCACGCGGTGCCACCCTGCATTACAGTCTTTTAAGTCTGTCTCACTAAACCTCAGAGAAGTGGACGTATAAATTGTCTAAACTGCAGAGTAAAAGCATAATGGCTCTAACCCCTCACTGCTGGACTGAATATCGGATGGACAGAGGCTGCAGGAAAAACCTTTCATGTTACTGATACCTTTTATGTGCAATTACAATTATCAGTTGCACTTTACTTCACACTCTCCCCTCACTCAGACCTGAGCAGCAGCATCGTGTTCCGTTTGATTTGAAAACATAAACATGATTCATGTGAGTGACCTGGAGACTTTGACTTATCTGAATTATAAGTGCTTCTACATGAATATGATGGAGAAATGTGGAAATTCTGATCCATCTTGAGTGACATCTGTTTTATTGCTTTGAGAGCTAAACTGCTGCTTTTGCTCCAGTTGACCACTTCATTTTCAAGTCTGCATGCCAAAGTGTCGTTGGGCAAGACACTGAAGCCCCAAAAAGCCCCTGATGGCTGTGCCAGCAGTATGAATGGAGTGTGATAGAAAAAATGCTGTGTATAAAAGCGCTGTATGAATGTGTGTGTGAATGGGTGAATGTGACTTATAGTTTACAACCTTTTGGGTGATCGATAAGACTAGAAAAGCACAATATAAAATATTGAATGTCTAGGAGGGCATTCTGGGTATTGTGTTAGATTTTATTCGTTCACTAAAGGATCTTTGTGGAACTATAGGGGACTGTAACTCTAAGTAAGTATCACAGGGATCAAACCTCAGTCCTTCAGTTTTTTTATGTCTAAAAGCCACAATTCTATCAAATATTTAGAAAGCATTATTTCAGTTTTCAATCTGTCTTAGGGGATTCTCAGATTTATTTAACTAGATGTCTGTCTAAAGATAATAATTGGTCCTCTCAGACCTTTGTTCAGATTCATTCATCAGGTACTTACCCTTTTATTTTCATTTATTTAATTAACTATTGTTATTATCATTATTAGACTAGAATTTTTATACTGTTTTTATTACATTATTAGCTTTATGTCTTTTGTGTAGCACTTTGTAACTTATTTGATGAGAAATAAAGATAATATATATATTTTTATCAAAGTGGTTTTAGCCACTTTATTTGGAATATTATTTCAATTTTACGATAAAGAAAAAGACAAGACAACAGAACGGGTTACAACAACAGTATTTGTTGTAAGACCACGTATTTTTATCGGTTCCTAATCCTGATATGGAGACAAAAAAATCACTAGATAGGAAACAGAAAGGCAAGTGTGGAGAAGGGAAGGCAGGTCAGTGTCTGAGATCAACATAATGATAGTGGTTAAGTGTGAGAAACTCGCAGGGCTTTCTCTCAGTCATTAAAATCTGACACAACGTAGCAAGGCCTCGTAAAAAAAAAAAGCCTCTAATACGCACTAAGTGACATACAGCTCATGGTCGAGCCTCTCACTGGTTGTTTAACAGTATGAACCACAAAAGTCAACTCTTTTCATGCCACAGTGAAGTAAAAGCCTGAAAGCTTGAGCACTCACCCGTCATATTTATCCAGATTGGCCTCTGTTTTCAAGTGGTCCCTGGCATGATTGGCACGCTCTGTAACTATAGAAACAAACGGCCAGTGTCAATGAAAGGGAGCGTGCAGAACAACAATCTGTGTGGATTGACGAGTACAGCAAGTGTGCTATTACTGGCATCTCCAAATAAAAGACGAGGAATAGTGTTGCACTTTTCAAACATTAACTCGTAACCCTTCGTGGGGATTAATGTTCCAAAAAAGGCAAAAGCACAGCGGCACAAAGCAATGTAACTCAGCTGTTTCATATTAGTCTGCAAAGTGAGTGCAGAGCCCACAAAAACAAAAGTACTATTTCAAAAGTAAATCTGTTCACCGGCCATAGATTGTCAACATAGATACAATCCTGTAGTCATAGTAACTGTAGGAAGCCGAGTGAGCAGCATTCACTCTGATGGACTATCAACACACCAGACTATGTGTAGCAGCAGCAAGCACTTATTGAATAATAGATGTGTTTGGATACCCAAGCTTATCAACTATCACAGCTTCCATTAAGGTGCTGATGTGATTAATAGCACCATAAGCCAAATCATATCCTCGCCAGCCTCTGCAGTCCCCACGCGAGGCCACGGCAGCCACAGAGATCTATATGGCCGCCACCGGGACTCATTTTTTATTTAAATGTAGAAGAACACCACTGAGAGGGACCCACCAATCACATCGGCTGAGATGCAGGCGCGGCGAAAGAGTGGAGCCACCTTCTGCTCGTAAATACGTGTCCCGTGTCGCTTTCCACCAAAGGGATTGATGTACACCAGGAGGCTCCTCGGCCGGTTGGCTGCAAAGTGAAGGAAAGGTTTGAGATAGTCATTAAAAAGACCCAGTGTTTACCCTTTTTTCTTTAATGTGTGGTTGACAGCAGCCTGATGAAGTTTTCATTAACAAGAGACCTTTCTCAAAATGCTCCGTCAAACTGACTGGTCTCCAAAACACGCTGCTGGAGAAATAAATGGTGTGTCTACTGGCTCTGGGTGGAGCGATTCAGAGGTGCTGCATCATTCGGTGATAAACCTACAAAGTGCTGCGATGGAGCATGGTAAATGGTTTGTTTATGGCTGCTGTGGAAGACTGCGTTCGGTACAACAAACCGCAATAGTTGAGAACAAAGCATGCTGCTGAGATGGAGAACGAATGGATTGGGATCAAGTGGTAAATGAGCACGAATGAAAACAGGGTGATGTAAGGGTGCACTGTGGAGGAGACGAACACTGTACGAGCACCGCAGGGCTTCATATTGACAATGGATGTCGTTCATTTCCTTGAATTGATTAATCTTTTCAGGCAAAATGGGGCCAAGTAAGCACTTATCTCCACATGCTAGATACACACTGAATCCTTTAGAGCCCAATAGAACAATCATGAAATCACACAAGACAATGTGTTTTCTTCAGTCAAACATGTAATAAGGCTTAATATGTTCTGACTGATGGTCTAATAACATTTTTATGGTAATGTTACGTGCTCATAAATTACTGGAAAACAGAAAATTCCTTATAGCATAGATAGGTAGATCAATTATTTCCACACATGCCTGATGGATGATGTGAAGTATGTACGATGTCGATATTCACCCACGTTTTATATTTTGAATCACCACCTCTACCAACTCGACAAGTTGCAGGAAATATGGTCACAATCTCCCTGGTAACAATATTCCTTGTCGTGAACATAGACTTTAACTGTACATAAAGATGGACGACATGTCTCCATGTCCTCCAACTAAACAGAAATCTTACAGAAATATCCTGATACGAACGCTTCCATCTCGCACATTTGGAGCCAGAATCTGTGATATAATCACGTTTTACTGCGTTTTCATAGCATCAAATAACAAAGTAAAATCAAACTCATTGAAAACAAACACTTCAACATACATCAGTGTAATGACAACGACCTAAACTGACAGAAACCATATTTGATAACATTTTGATGTATATTTTAACTTAGGCAGGTGGAATGTCCTATGCTGGAGCCAACCACCAGGGGGCAATCGAGATGCTGAGGCTTCCCTTTTAGGGAACTGTCATGTCATCCATCTTTATTTACAATCCATGAAAGTAACTTGCAAGTAAAGTTTCGATTCTGAACACTACACCTAAAGCTCTTTTATTTCCCCAGTCTGTCTCAAACACTTCATAACATGACAAGAGGCAGTGTCATGAATCAAACAGACGTTACGGTAAATGATGAGGGAGGCTGAGGGATTCGCTTTCTTTGGGAAGCAACAGTAACTTATCATACATGCTGTACAGCGTCCCTGTGAAGAAGTCCATAAACAAAGCAGAGAAAAACACTGTGTTGTTTATCCACGGCCCAGAGCTGCTGTCAGCTGTTAAAACTGCTCGAGAGGTCAAATAGCCTGATTCTCACAGAACGCACTGTGCCTACAAACAGAATACACACCTTCTAGTCTTATCTTAGCCTGACAGGCAAATTACAACTGTAGCAGCTTCTAGACCACAAGACAAACCACGTGTAGCTGTTCAGCATGGACATTACAAAGACATTCCAAAATGTATCTTATACCATTATATACCATTTACCTGCCACTTTCATCTGACTAAGTGCTATTGAATATGCAGTCCTTACAGTTACATTTGCCCTTTGCTTCTGTGTAGTGCAGCTTAATGTGTGCATGTGGGTTCTCCAATTATCAGACATACTTGTGCATCCGTAATCATGGTTTAGAGCACAAGTCAGTCTCAGCTATCAATCATGTCATTCCACACCGCTTTACTATCATCGATTCAATAATTTAAACCAAACTTGCCCAAAAAAATGAACATTGAACATATACCAGTGTGATAAGAACTTCCTAAATTTACTAGAACTTTAATCATTTCCAACAGCCTCTAATTTAAACCTTTGCCACCTGAGGTAATTACCCAAACGCAGATTGTGATATAAAAACATGCTTTAGCTTTGTGTTACACCCCTAGATGCTCAGTAAGAGAGTGGCATTTAAAGACCTTTGTCACACTTAACATGCTTTACAACTGAGCTCCNTATCATCGATTCAATAATTTAAACCAAACTTGCCCAAAAAAATGAACATTGAACATATACCAGTGTGATAAGAACTTCCTAAATTTACTAGAACTATAAAGTATATACTCATATTCAGTACACCTATGTGCTAATCTAAGTGCATGGTAAAAAAAAAAGCATGGCCTTATTTAAAAATCTACCTAAAATGACAGAAACCATCTTTGAGGAAAATGTATTGGATGTGTATTTTAACTTTTTAGTTTGGCCTATGTCCTTTCTGCTAACGTGGAGGAGGCATGGTTTACGACCTATACTGCAGCCAGCCACCAGGGGGCAATCAACTGCTTTATACACAGTCTATGATGCTCAAACACACAGATTCCTGCCGCTGTAAATGGCACTTTTGGGCATCTAGTCAATAAACGTCATCAAATCCAGGAATATATTTTTTACGCACTGAGTAGTGACAACTGCTCATTGATAACCTGGACCCACTGCTCACAGAGCGTCAGATCGGCACATTGGAAGGTGACGTCACTACACCGCCACTGGTGATGCCGCATCCTCCTCACGTAGGAAACTGTAGAGAATAAAAAAAGAAAACAGAGTGAGATAAAAATAAAGAGATCGAAATACTGTTGAGGTTGGCTTGTATTTTACATTCCACAAAGGTACTTTCAGCTCATGTCATCTGATAAACCTTGAACCTTCATTCTCACCACTTACAGCAGCAGGTCAGGCTTCCTACACCAAGATTGTAAAAAAAGAGAGTCAAAGGAAAACAGATGAAAACAAGAGAATTCCTAATCTGATTCAAACATTTCCTGTTTGCCATCATCCACGTAAAAGTGCTTCCCCAGCTAAGAATCACTGTGAGTGCTGTTGGGCTTTGGAGCAGGTCTTTTTATGTCGCCACAGACCTATTACACTTTATTTGTTCTTTTGGCTCTGACTACCTGACTTTCCCACAGGGCAGACCTGCTACTGAGAATGAACCCTGACTTTATCTCCACCCGCCAGGTCAAAACAAAATCAGATATGTGAATGAGTACGAAATAAAGGCCATGAGGGGAAAAAAAATAGAATGCCAGGTAAGACGAAGTGGGATGTGGAGATGGAATTCGAACACTACTGAAATATTTACGTTACAGACTGAAAGAAATTCCCTCACTAAGCACTTTGACAGCAGATTCACTCGCTAAGCATTTCAAAGTCAAATGATCACATAAGCATTTTTTTCTCTCCATCAGATAGAGAAGTTAACTTTCCAGGCAGGAGTCCTCTCTTACAGTTCTAACAGTGAGGTCGGCAGCAGAGATGTTGAATCATCCTTTTAAAAAGTTACATAATCAGGACGGGACGTGTCTTTGAAGCTGAGTTTCCACGGATGCTGCCGTGTCACAGTCGACGCACTCTAATGCCGGTAAAAGCTCACATTAGGGAAGTAATTTTCTTTACAACATTCGGCTGCAATATTAATGTAAATCCGATCTTGTTTTGGATATAATCTAATGGCTCCAAAAATCAAGCATTAGCTCATAAGTCAGGGGCACGCTGCCATTTTAGACCCAGTCGGCTAAGCTGTGACTGACTCTCTTGTTAATGCATTAGTTGCCAGACTGTGGAGCTGTCTACGGGCTTATTCCCCACTGTCAGATCGCTTGTGATTGGTACCTCTTGGCACGCTCAGCACCCCCACACCCAAAACACAACAGTGATATGGTATTTACCTACTGCAAATAAAATGAAAGCGACTGATGAAAAAACAGCTTCAGGCAATGTTGTTGGAAGGACAAACAAAAAAAAAGATCCTGCATCTGTTTTTTAAAGTGGCACTTCAGCAATTAAGCTCTGCACTCACAGAAAGATGGAGGATGAAGGACAGATTTTTCAAAGAATTGGAAAATCATTGAAGTAAAAGCAAAGAGAACATATAATGGCCTTAAAGCAACTTTTTAAACTTCAAATGACAGCTTTAAAATTAGCTTGATGCGTGGTTTGAATTATGACGCTGCTAAACCCCTGAAAGCCGACTTTTTGTTATTAAAAGGGCGGCTCTGACACATGATCCATTTTGTTTCAGGTAAGAGACTTTAATTTTCTGTAGAGTTACGTTTTTAAAACAATGTCTTCATGAAGAAAGAAAGCAATTCTATTATGTGGAAAACAATCCACCTTCTATCAACAAGTCATTTGTAAGTGTGTATGTAAGATTAATTCAAGTTGAGTCTGAAGTCAAGTTATTTGCAAGATTTAGTTTATCTCCAACATTTGACAAGGAAACTTTAAAATTAAGAAAAAGTCAAAACAGGGTTCGATGTATTTGTTACAGCTACAGCTATTCTGGTTCAGGGATCATATCCACTGTTCAGTTGTGTTTCAGTTCATTTTTTAATCCCTACATGCACTTAATCACTTGGATACAGAGACCATCAGAATGAATCACCACGCGTGGCTGCAGAGGGCGCTGTTGCTCAGTACAAAGTTACACGGTATTGCTTTAATCAAGCGTTGTACCTGTGAATGCATGAGGATACAGCTGGGAGCCGAGCTTCGCTTTCTTCTGACTCTTGTTCTTTGTGTCGTCTTCTTCAGTCTTGCGGACGGCGACAATCTCACACACCAGAACAGTGTGACTGTGAGCTGCAGAGATTCACAAAGGAATGAATGAATTAACACTGAGTGAATGAATCAATAATGAAACCATGATGTTCTCTTGCTGTCACAGTTAGTCTCTATTATAAGGAATGATTCATTTTTTCACAGGAAGTATAATTACACACACACACAATGAGAAACCAGAGCAGCTATGGAGTCCTCACAGCAGCACGGACATTTTTATAGAAAACGCCATCGCTTTTGTGAAGATTTAAGCTGCCATAACAATTTATCTCTTATAAATTAACAATAATCACATGGCTACATATAATAGCGAAGCTGTCAACCCTGCTGTTCTCCACGTCTCTAAAGAGTGTTTTAGCATGTTTCAGATCTCTGTTTCACTTTACAGAGTAAAACTTTACTGTGTCGGTTAAGTACTGCTTTCATCAGATTTAGTGGAAGTCTATCAGTGTTGGAACAAGCAGTAAAATGAACGTGAGGTATAACAAGGCTGAATCCCAAGAGCGATGGTGGATTTCTGAGGAGAAACAAAAATCTGCCTGGATTTCCTTCCCATGGAAACGGGATTCAGGCCGTTGGATTAAAATTTATCCTGGGATGAAAAGGCTTTGGTAAAGTTTGAATGGTTTCTTCATTATGTAGTTCATTATTTGTCATTTGTGTGATGTAGTGGATTCTCGCTCAGAGCAGGTCAGGCTGCCGAGTGACATTAAAGAATTGAAGTGTTAATTTATTGCAATGGGAAGGCTGAGATTGGGAAATTAAAGGGAATTCAGGGAAACGGTTTCTTTTGTTGTTCGCTGCAGTAATGTAGCTGCTTTCAATCATGGAAGTCTGGACATTTTGCTGAAATCATCCAGAGGGGCTGGATGTGAGAACACGAATGTCTGAGTCAGTTCCCCCGCACATTTAAAACAATTGTACCTGTCAGCAACCTGGCAAAATGTCAATCTATGTGACCATAGAGCCGGAAAATGTCTGAATAATTCATGTTCATGACATTTCTTACACATGATGCAAACTGGAGGAAGACATATATCCAGCAGTGGAGGAAGTACTCAAACATTTTACTTATGTAAAAGTACAAACAGACAAAATTTACTCAAGTAATAGTACCATAATAACTTTTCAACTTAGGTTAAAAGTAAGTACTTGATTTAAATATACTTAAAGTATTAAAAGATAAACTACTTGCATGTCGATGTATACTACATCGTTATAGCTGCTGGAGGCGGAGTTTAATGTTACCTGCCCACTCTGATTGGATCAATGAATCAATTGCCCCCTTGTCATTGATTGCTTTTAAAAATATATAAAAACATTTGAACATGTAACAAAATAAATCGGAGTAGGAAGAGCAGATATTTGCTGATATATATTGTGGGGTAAAAGTGAAAAGTACCTACATATATATATATAAAATAAATCTACTTGAGTAAAATACAGATACATGAAAAAAAAAAAACTTAAGTACAGCAATAAAGTAAATGGAATTTGTTACATCCCACCACTGCAAATATCTCAGGATGAAGAGGTAGAACAGGCCAAAGATGATGTCAGCTTTGAAAGACAATTGGATTCAAGAGCTGTTGGTGCTGTAATGTCAATATGCTGTAAACAAAAACACCGGGCTTTCTACACAGGCATTTATACGTCATGTTTGCCCCCCCATGACCTGAACGTTCTGCACAGTTTCCTGTTGTTGTGAACGTGTTGGACACTGACAATCTCCCGCTGAGTTCTTCAAATGAAAAGCCAAACTTCAAAGTTCATGTCTGAAAACAGCTTATGACACAGAGCGGCCAGAGAAAATCCAGGTGAAGGCATTGAAATCACTTTCCAAAAAAGACGTGGACTGTAAAAAAAGAGCAACTCTGCAGGGGGAGGGTGACACTTCAGTGCTCTATACTAGATCTCACAATATATCTCACCATTGTAAATTGTTTCTATATCGAGATTCAGATATTCGGAGCACTCAAGCTCAACCGATGGCTTTGCTACAAATTCACAAGAGCACTTCTCCACTCGGAGAGGACGATATTACTTGCAAAGAGTTTAACTGACCTCCTCAACTGCATCTCACACACACACACACACACACACACACAGATATTCCAGTCTCTCCTACAAATTTATTCAGGTGATATAGTGAAATGGATGGGAGGGAGGCATGACATATTATTTCCCTCCTGGGAGTCTGAGGGAATAGGATTTCATTTCTTTCTCAAATAAAGATGATGCGCCATGCAGGCATGAATAACTTTATGGCCATCGATATTCACACTTTGACAAATAAGAAGAAGAGTTATGGCCGTGTGGGTAATGGCTTTATTTCAGAAAAAAAAAAGAATAAAGTGTTTATTCCAGCTATTTGAAAAATGACACCTAGTGCTCTGCCAAAGTGATAGTTGGTGTTATATTAAAACATATAATGAATGACTGAAAGTTAACATTTAATCAATTTTCTAAGCGTTTTTTCTGGTTGAGGGTCGCAAGTGGCCGGGCACTGAACCATCACTGGTCGTCCATGTATCACACACAGACCAATACAATTCCATTTAGAGTTTTTAATCACACGACCTACAATTACACCGAGAGAGAAAACAAGCACAGTACCCACAAACCCAAGTAAACGGAGAGAGAACAACTCATACTGGGTATAGAGCTCTCACCGAATGTTACAAACTGTATTTTTTACTCAGGTTATGTTTCATGTGTGTCTGTTGTTACTGACTAACAGCTGTGCATGATACACTGAGTCTTATTGAAAGGACACATCAGTGAGGACTTTTACTGTCTGAGCTGTTGATTTAAGCACAACCTTCCACCTTCCAAACAGCAAGACGACTCAAATCTACTTCAACTGCTGCTGTAAAAGTCGTGCAATGTGTACCGACCGACAGTTTGACTTATCACCGAGGAGTGCCGACAAAACAGACGCGGTGCATTGATCGGGATGTTCCACTGTGTCGCAAATCATTCCATGCGAGCGTGACTAGATAAGCAGAGGCAGATTATCTTCTGGTGAAACGTTGCACATTGATAGCGACAATTAAAGTCGGAATGAACCCAAGATTATAACAAAGCTGAGATGATTCAACACCAAACTTTTACCAGAGTTGGGTGGAATATATTACAATATCTTATCTTGTATCTTACACATTAACACGTTTGTTATTTTAAGCTCCCTGGTTTACGGCGACATCTAAAAAATGCATCAAATCTTTTTTGTGTTCACCTTGTATTCGTGATTTCTGTTAAAGACAAAAAAAAACAGGGTTACTGAGTACATGCAGCGTCTACCTCTCCCCCCCTCCTCCCCTCCCTCTCCAGGCTGGGCCTATGAACGACTTGGTCAAATTAACACCAGAAACAAGCACAAAGCGAATAATCCCAGTGAAGTGTGTTCTAGGGAAGGAACTGGAGACAATGGCTGACATTCCCACTTTCTAACACTGCTCTAATAACCCTGCCACACACACTCACAAAGGCATCAACACACAGTAATCCCAATACCACACACACACCAACTAAGAACGCAGAGACACACACACATCCAGGACTTTTTAGCTCAGTGCAGTGCCTATAAGCTACATGCTAAGCCCTCGGCCATACAAGCCAGATCCTCTCTACTCTGCGCTGACATACTTTTCTTTATGCTTGAAAAGAATCTTAGCGCTGGCAGTCAGCCAGCACACTGCACTGCCTTTTCATACCACAGGGCTCAGAGTGTGAGTGTGAGCCAGAGAGAGGTCTGCTATCTGCAGAAAGTCAGCTTTTCGGGAACAGGAGGGGAAAGGGTTTATTCTGCAATGTCTGCACTCGAAGGAAAAAAAAATGTTTTGTTCAAATCTAAAAATCTGTCCATCTTCCAGAGGAAGTTCATGCATGGACTAATCGCCAAATGAGTGTTATCGCCTTCACCTCTGTAATTTCACATAGGAAAAGTCTCTTTTTGTGGAAATCCCCCCTGCCCCTCTCATTTAAAGATCTGCTGCATGACACTTCATGTCTTTTGAAATTGGGGGCTGCTGATCGACTTTGCGGCTCGCCTTCCCCCTAGCGATATGCCGCCATAGCATCTCATCTCGTGCCTCTCTACACCAGGTCCACGCCTCGCTGTCTGTCCGCAACACTTGCGACACTTACCCACATTTAGACATGTGCATGTGTGGTGTTGCCCTTTATTTAGATTAATTTATTTCCTTTTCTCTGTGGCTGTGTCAGAAATCACTCACTAATCACTATATAGTCCATAGCTGTCCGTACGTTTAGTGAAATGTATTTGGCAGTAAAATATGTAATCAGAGGAAAGAGTGCATCACAACACAAACTGCCACAAAATAGTTTATTTCTACATTTACACGTGGTCATTCAAGTTTTTTCCGAAATTTTTTGAAAGCCATGTGTAAAATAAACATTTAATTTATTTTCCACCAACCAATGTAAATACCGGCGCAGAGAAACCTCGACTGCATGAAAATTAAAAGCAAACAATATTATTGTCATTTAAATAACGTACAAAGCATGAGCGATGAGTGTGACCTGGAGCGTGACACTTTGTGTTTGTGTTTCCTGGCTGAGTCCACTGCAAACACTTGAGACTGCCAAGTGGAATTGGTATCAGTGTTTTCTTAAAGAGTTTTAGTTGTGTGTTGTAAAAAAATAAAGACCTCTTGTCAACTTATATCTCACAATGGGCCAGAAGCAGTTTGAATAGAGGTAGGCAGACGATGGTTGCCTACAGGTGGTAATAATATTATGAGAGTCAAACATACAGTATAACCTTTAGGGAAATAGGTTTGCTTGTAGAGTAAGAGAAGAAGACTGATACCACACTCACCATACAGATATGTATGATAAATATAAAGCTACAACCAGCAGCTGATTAGCTTATCTTAGCACAAAGACTGAAAACAAAGAGAAATGTTCCAGTTTAAAAGATATGGACCCACGAGTCTAAAGCTAAATTTCTAAAAAGTATACGGACTAAACTGCACTGTAACACCACCAAATAGCTC